TAGCGAGATGTGACCGCACGGCGATCGATATTGCCAGGCGAGGGATGGGGACGTGAGACGCGGGAGCGGCGACGTAAACAACTCGCCGGCAACTGCGCGCTGTCCCCACCTCCCCCCCCTCGCCAGGCGATATCGATCGCCGGGCGGTCACATCTCGCTACGCGCTCGAATTGGACAGTGGGCAGGGCAAAGACGACGATTTTCGATAATTTTTTTCTCGTTAACTATTGCGAAAATTGTAAAATGTTTCAGGACTTTCTGTTCATCTCGATCCGTTCTACCTTCTCACGAGCTCGTGGACAAATGTTATAACTCACCCTGTATACGTGTGCACACGTATTGGAAATGTGAACCGAATATTACCGAATCTCACCGGAAAGAGTCGAAGTCAGACGAGTGATCCCCTTACCGCGATTATCAGTTACCCCTCGTAAAAGGGTCCGTCTATAGAAGTCTATGTTATCTGGAGGTCAATTTCTGAAACTTACGAAAATTACAAAAGTGAGTGAATATTTATAATTTCAATCTGTGAATTCGCTCACTTTTGTAATCTCCACAAGTTTCAGAGATACACAATCCATCTTCTCATCTTATTTACAGATCGGATGTATATTATATAACCACGAAAGCTTCATGCATATGACAACCATGTGTCACGTACAGTGAACTCTATACATACTGGAATGAGTGATCTATTGTTCTAGCTGTTGCCGAGAGAGAGGTGCGTTTGGGTGAATCCTTGTCTCCTTCTAGTACTACCTGATTGGATAGTCGCATATAAATGACGAGAAGAAGGGCGTCATTTATATGCGATTATCCAATCAGGTAGTACTAGAAGGAGACAAGGATTCACCCAACGCACCTCTCTCTCGGCAACAACCAGAACTATAGATCACTCATTCCAGAATAGGCTTGTTTTCTGTTGTTTCTGTTCCTACACTAGTGAACTAGTGCAATAAATTGGAGTAAGACAAGCATATTTTTTCTCATTCTAGCTTACTGCACTAGTTCACCAGTGCAGGAACAGAAAACAAACCCTATGTATAGAGTTCACTGCCCAAGTAGAACAAGTTAATCACAAAAACGTCAATGTGACATTAAAATGACGAATTTTACGTCATAAAATGATCAACATCAAGATTTACTTCGCAATGACTGACTAATGACCATGATATTCGTGACGTGTATAATAATATATTATTACAGATTACATGATCAGTCATATATTATGTTTGTCTTATATTACTTCGATTTATTTTTGATGTATAATACTTAATTAACTTACGAGATTAACTTTACAACATTTCGATGTCTTAATGATGTCACAAATAGGTGCTCTCGGTGGGCCATTTTGACGTCACCATGATGCATAAAAAATGATCGAAAAATGATGTCATCTTGATGTTTTCATGACCAATATGTTCTACTTGGGTGGTCACGTACGAATGCGAATGGAGTTAGTTGATGACAGCGCTCCCAGCATGGTGGAAAGAAATAAGGTGAGGCAATGCGTATCATGAGTTTCAGTTTGGGATCAGCCAATAGAGAACGCCGTACAGTTTCGGCCATTACTAGCGGTCTATTTGAACAGTATTATACTTAACTAGGAAATTCAAACAAATAGGAATGGATAGGAAAATCTCTCAAAGGCATAATTATTGAAAAATTATTACTTTGTCATAACGAATGGAAATAATATCAGGAAAATGAACTTCCGTAAGAAAACCATATTTTTCTATGGCATAATTTTTGGAGGAAAAGATTCTAGTCAATGACTAGAATCAGGATGTTTAATTGAATTGTGATTTATAGAAATAAAGTAGTTAAAAAAAGGATGAAATTTTAAAACTGGCGGCGTTTTTTGTGCTCTCACTCATCGGTTCTCTCCATAACCAATTTTCAAAATTTTGTAATAATAAAAATGTCATAATTATTGAAAAATAAATGATCATTTTTCCGAAATCCAATGCCAAAAATATAAAATACCTTTCCCCCCCAAAAAAACAAATTACTGAAAATTGACCCTATAAAAGGTGAATCCCCTCTTGATATTTTATTCTAAATCATATGTTTATGGGAAAAATAAATTAAAATTAGAAAACAATGAAAGTGGATAAGGATGTCATTCGAAGTTCTATGGAAAAAAACCATTAATTTCTAGTTAACAGTTTTATTACATATTTTCTTAATTTTTTCTCTTTTCTACTTTTTTGCTGTTTTCTTAAACCTATCTTCTTCTCGAATTTGTATATTCCATTTCCTGAGCCTGATGTACGTTCTTGTACGCACCAAACACAAAAGAGCATCACGAGGAATGGAGTCATATTTCTCCATTACAAGATCTGCCACTTTTCGAAAAATATATTTTGTTTTTAGTTTTAGTTGATTCGGCCCGTGGAATTTTTCAAATACATCGTCCATGATGTTTGCCACCTTGAGGAATTCTTCAGAGGGGTACATCAAGCCCCCTCTCGATAACATCATTATATATTCCGAGTTATCCAGCGATCCTAAATCTCTTGTTGGATTACCTAAAATGGAATATTTGTTTCTGAACCGATAGGCAACATATCCTGCGATGTATTTTAAACCTTGGTTGCAGATCCATTTACGGTCATCAATTTGATCGATATTTTCGACCTGTTCGACGAGATTCATTTCTTCTTTCAGTGAGAAATGATTCGTTGATCGACGTCGAAACGACGTCGAATCGACATCGACACCGTCGAATTGACATCAATTCGACATCATTTCGACGTCGATCGACGAATCATTTCTCACTGGGATATAAGCTGTTTTCCATTTGCACTCAAGTGACACTGAGGCTGTGTTCCGATATTTACTGCCAGTGCTGAAAATGTATATATACGTGACATAAACTATAGATTTGCAGTACTGGCAGTGAATATCGGAACACAGCCTGAGTCACTCAGTTATGTATTTTGTATCTCGGATAAGACGTCATTAGTTGCTTTCGCCCCCGCCGGATAGCTTCAGCAGCCAGGGTCGTGAACGAGATTGATAAATGGATTGATAAAGTAACAAACCAGCAACCTCTTATTATTCCACGTAGAAGATTCACCGTCCGCACGCCCGTGCCCACAACGCGAGTCGTCCGTCTCGATACGTTCAGCTCCGTCTCTGCCGCGCCAAGAGACTTGACGATGCTCTTCACCAAACTTTTATTCCTGCATAATAGAATATTGCGCGAGAACATCGGAAATTGCCTTAAAAAAATAGAAAAATTGAATATTGAATTACCCTTCAATATATATTCATATTCATTACTCAATCACGATAGCAGTGACAGTTTTCAAAGAACGCTTGAAGTAAACAACTTTTAGGTTATCGAAAAAAAGATGGCGGAAACTGTGCGGATCCCCCACCAAACCTGGGATGCGCAGAACGAAACGAAACTCGTCACGAGCATTGCCTCACCTTATTTCTTTCCACCATGGCTCCCAGTATTGCTTTTCAGAACGTCTGGCGGGCACAAACATCGGCCCATTCTGATTACGGGCAGTTCC